AAAGCTCGGTTTCCTATCAACATCAGGAAGGATCTACTAATCCGAAGTTATGTTTGTCATAAGAATGTTTTTCTTTCTCAGCTTGGCGACATTCCTAAATATACCTTATTTTTCCTGCTGCAAAATTATGGTGCCTTATTTTCCGTTTACTTTTTATTTTCCGCTGACATTATTTCCATTTTCCTTTTTTTTTTTTTTTTTTTTTTTGACATTTTTTTTCTAAAATCGTTGTCCGCCAGTCATTACATGCAGAATTAGAAGATCAGAAAAACAATTTTGATTCTTAAAGTGCGGCTAAGGTAGCAGGTAAAACATCCAAAATTAATCTTTCACTTTCCTTATATATTCAATATTTATATATTTATATATGCAAGTCCGAACAGATGCTAATAATTGAAAAACACTTTTCTTCGATATCTCAGGTATCGGATCAAAATTTCTGAGTAGAGACAAGCTTAAATCTTTAACATTTTAATAAGCTTCCTTCTTCACATATTATGGAGATAATTAGCAAAATGCTCACGAGAGCAAATACATCTGATACATTGTATGAGCATTTACATCATTATTTGGGACCTGCTAATAAGACTTAAAAGTGATTAACCACAGGCATTGACTAAAGTAAAGCAATTGCATAGATACTATAATAGCTGAAGTTATTAAGTTATACAAATTTAAAACAATGAATTCATTTAAGTATAAACACCTGCAACAATAACGTCTATTATTCCATCCTGCGTCTATCCTCAGATATTTCCTCACCCGCATTACGGTAACTGGGCATTTTATTAAAATTTCAGAGATGCAGAGATAGAGCTCATTTAACTCGAACTTAATCATGAAATACTCATTTCACTTAACAGCTGTCATTTTAAAGTCAGCTGACAAAACATGTTTCCATTATGAAACAACTTACATTCTAAGGATTCTCTAGCAATTTGCAAACTGCAATACTTGAGCATATCTGTCACTATTAACAGTATAGGAACCATTGAACGTATGAAATCTGTATGAACGTATGGCTGTGCTTTACAAAAGTTCCATTGCTGAATATTTTGGATAATTAACTTCATTATTAATCAGACACATTTCACTGGATTCCCTAGACCAGTGCTGATTATAGCGCAGACTCAGAATTGCTCCCTTTTAATTATGAAATATTGAAAACTATGCAACTATAAACTATGCAAATTAGAAATATTCAACTTTTGCAAATAAACTATTCCCATAATTTTCAGAAACTGCACTTTGTTGGAATTCGGTTCGTTTCTGAAGCCACAAACGAGAACAAGGATCTTCTACAAAAATATGCTTATAATTTAATAAACTTTAAGCTCATAAATTCAGAAGCAGAATACACTTAACAAATAAATTTCATCTTTTAACTTGTAGAGACATTAGGATGTTTTGGAAGCAGGAAAGATGAAAAATATGCAAGCAACGCCTTCGCCGGGAATCGAACCGCGGACCTCTGGAATTCGTGCCCAGCGTACAGACCACCACACGACGAAGACACGCGAAGAAGGCGTGAGAAATACCTTATAAACTAAAGAGAACACTAATTCAGCTCAATCATTTTCAAGTAAATTAAAAATGAACAAACTGAAAAAATAAATTTTAAAAAAATTAGATGATATACGACCGGGGGACCAAAAATAGCTCAGGTTATTATTCTTATTAAAAAAATGCTTTTAAAATTTATACCGATTTTTCGAATATTTGATTTAGAAATAAAACTTTTGATTTAAAAGAAAACAGATTTGATTACGTTATTTTACCCTAAATTATAACTTAATTTTATTGATGCTGCCAACACTTTAAGTATTTAGAAGATAAAATTTTCGAATGTTCAAATTTCATTTTTTAAAACATAATAATCCAAACTTTTGAAGTATATAAACGTTCAAAGCAAACCAAAGTTAGGTTAAATAAAGTTAGATTAATCTAACATGCCGAATAATGATTAGTGGTTCTGTAGTTAAACCATCGAAACTAGTCCTGCAGAATTTAGAAATATTGCGCTGATTCTTGTTGTTTGACTTCTCCAAAGTTTACCAATAAAGAAAAATATAATAAAAAATCGGCATTCAGTTTTTCAAATTTACCACTTAGTGTACAGATCAAATTTTCTGCTTAAGCTGTTCTTATATGTTACTTTGTATTATGCATTTAGTTACGTTTTTCTTTTAAATATGTATAATTTTTCATTTTATATTTATTTTTATTCTTTGATTTAACAATTTAGTAATTTTAATTTTGTTTTCAAATTTAAGCTATTGAAGCATTAGCAGCATCCAAAAGAAAGCTTTCAAATCTACATTCTCTTTCTAATAGTATGATTTTGATACCTGTTTTGAAGTTGAAATGCTAATTTTAAGTAGAAGAAAGCTATAAGTTTCTAGTTCGAAACACATGAGCTTAGTTAGCTTCAATTTCATTAAACCTGAAATGTTACTTTTGACAAACATGTACTCTAAAATTAAACCAAATATTTTATATTTGAAATAGGTGCATTCAAATGAACTAATTTCAAAATAAATATTTCAATGTTTAAAAAAAAAAGGTTTTATAGTACATATACCTCCTATTTAGGTAATTCTAACTTAGAGTTCGAGCTGGGCAACAATTATGTCGTAAGGGAATTTATATTAATTAAGCAGTTATTTATAATTCCGTTTTTTACTATAATTTCTCTATTCCATATTCCTCACCAAAAATGAGTAAATTTATTTAAACTGAGGCTTTTGGATTTTAAGAAAGCGTGTGTTCTGTCATCGCGTGCACGCTGCGGGTTAGTTTCCTGCTCTGATAGTTTCAAAACATTCAGCTCTGCGTTGCTTGTTGCCTACATTTTAATTATGACGTTCCGGTATAGTAGTGAGCCAGCTTCTAGTATAGTAATTAATTGCGTAGCCTTTGACTAATGATACACGTATAACTAATGGTTCATTGTTATTTATTTGCATGATTACGAGTTGTAGCTATATTATAGCACAAGAAAGTTCTTTTGTGTTCTAAATTCTGTTTAAATAAAGCGTTTATTTTTAATCTTCTCGAGACTTTGTTATTGTTTCAGCCAAACACAGAATTCGCTTCAGGTATGGTATAAATTATTGCACTAATTAGCATTAAGTGAAACCCTACAATATATTTTAATTTTTTTCGCTGAGATATTTTTCCCGCAGATTTGGGCTCTAAATTGAATTCTTTTGAATTTTAACTAATATTTCTTCATGCAACTAACTTGTTAGCGAAGTTTGTTTAATGCCACTCCACTTTTATTCGAGTTGAGCAAAAACAAGCTGAAACTTGTCTGAAACTGTAAAGAATTTTAGCTTCTGTTCTAAGTTCTCCTGCTTTGTTTGAAAAATTATACAAATATCTCTGTCGCTAAAATTGGATTTTTTTTCTATCAAGAGTGTAGTCGGTAATAAAATTTCTACCTTATTTGCTGACTACGGTGATCATGCTAATATGCTTTGCATTTTTGCTTTCTCACTTTTTTAATCTCCTTTGCATTCATTATTTTAATTCCTACAGTTTCCCCATATTCAAAACATTACGTATTTGTGTTCACCAATTCATGAATTCGTGTTCAATTTAAAATGATATGTGTATTATTAAAATTTGCATAAGGTTCTGTAATATGGTTAAAGAAATATGTACAAAGGTTTCCGTGATTTTTTATTCAACACTGCTTATTTGCTTATTTATATGCTGCTTATATGCTTATTGTGCTTATTTATATGCTTATAATTCTATGTTCGTACAGAGATTAATTATATCGCTTCGAATGCACATTACTTGGATGTATCAAGTTTACAGCTTAATTTGTTTTAATAGAGAAAAAAAGTTTCCTTCAAGAAGCCTTTAAAGGCTATAAAATAAAGACAGAAAAATCATAATTAAGAATTGTTTTATTGAAAGGTTCAACAGGAATATAAATAAATTCATATTAGTTGCGTAAATGATGAAACCTAGGGAGATTTTGATGAGCGGAATTTTACTTAACTTAGAAATTTATTGATGAAATCATCCTTCTCTTTTGTAGATATTCCTCAAACACTTTATTTTAATTAATATCCAATTAGTTTTTTTCTAATTCCCAAAGTAATATGAAATCTGCTCACGAGCAAAACTATGAATTAATTATTTTAAAATAAAAGCAAACTAGTCTTTGAATGTAAAACTTCTACCGAAGAACTTCTTTCCAAAATCATTCTTTTCCTGAAACATTCTAAACTAAATTTTAAAGGATGGCTTGTAAAATGTAAGAGTTGGAAGCATTATTCTATATTATATGAAGAATAAGATATATAGAATAAATTTGGAAGGTTTCAAGAAATATTTGTCTCCTGTTATGAGTTATCTCAATTTATAGATTGCTGTCTGCATGTTTTGACATCACAGGGAGTCTTCTTGAACAAATACATGGAAGCATTTTTACAATATTTCAACAGCGGAACGATACTGAGTTCTGAAGAAATGTATTATTGAAAATTATTTTAAACAGAGGAAAAGAGACTTTTGAAAGCAATAAAATGTCTAAACTGAACGAAAAACAAACAGAAATCTTACATAAATCAAGGGAAATCATTTGTTTTTTTTTAATGTTTCAAAAATATATTTCAGCAACTCAATTCATTGGTTGAATGTATTGATTTCCATATATTTCCACAACTCAGTATTTGGGAATTAGAAGAAATATTTATGTTTTGAATAAAATGTGCTTTGAAAATTAACGATTTCGCATTAAAAATAGAAGTTTTAGAGTAGGTGACCGTGTGTTTCTGTATTTCAGTCTTATTTTGGTAACGTTAGCCGAATGACAACATTAATGGACGAAAACAAATATTCTTCAAAACAGCAATAGAATTTAACTAATTTAGTATAAATATAACTAGAAAAATATGAGTATGTATTCTCAAAACTTTTTAATTAAGTAAATTCAAAAGTTTCTTTATGAACTGTTAATAATGCTCATTTCTGTTCATTTATAGGCTGTTCATAATCTTTCTGAAAATAATTTGCCCGATGCTGTATTCCTGATTTTAATACTTGGACAGCGTATCTCATTGAAAAAGGAACATGTGAATGTGAAACTTTAAATTAGACCAGCAAAAGCAACATTAATTTGGTGTATATGTTTTTAGGAAAACTAAACTTTTGCTGAAATGTTTCTGCTCTTAAAGAAGAGTGATCTGTGTCTGATTGCCTTTAAAATTTATGTCAAATTAAGGTTGTAATTTCCACCTCATTTTGAATGGATTGAAATCGCCACGAAGCCATCTGACGACTAACGCTCTTCTTAGCGTTATTCCTTTGTTCACGTGTAAATTTTTATAATAAATTTTGACTTTACTTGGCGTCTATATGAATTTTGAAAACTTATTCTGTACATTTTGATCATTTTAACAAAATTGTTGATCACAATAAGCGATGTATTTTCCATATTTTCTTATACAAAAAAGTGGGACTTCGGCAATTTGTAAGAATATTCGAATAATAACATTAACGGCGATCATTTTAAACGGCGTCTGCTGTACTACATAATAAGGCAGACTGTGGTTCTCTTTATATGATAAAATAATTCATTCTTATACTAATCCCTTGTTAAGAAGGTTTTTAATATCAGAGTAAATCTTGTAATTTTTTTTGAACTGTACCATTTTTAACTGTCATTCTTTTCATGGCCATTTTTGCCATTTACGTAAAGAATATTCATTTTATTTCTAAAAAGCTATTGCATCTAAACACATAGCTTTCTGCTCGATTTGTAACGAAAGTTCAAAATACAGATGCGTTAATCAATCATTCTTTTTCTAGCACGTAAATAATACAAAATTGAAATTGCTCTTTGATGATTTGAAAACTACGAAGGTCTTTTGCATGCTAATCAGACTCTTGTAGAATGAAGGATAGAATTTACAAACAACCTTAATTGTAGATTGTGTTTATAAAAACTGTATTTACTGTGCATAAATATGTGCAGATTTTGGTGACAATATGATGTTACAAAAGATATTTGGAACTCTTTGAAACGGTTCTTACGTATTACATTTTGGGTTCTTCATGATTGGAGTTAGAGCTTTATGTATCACTACCAATTAATATAAAAAATTCCATACTCTTAATTGCATTGTAGACTAATTATTCACATAAAGATAATCTTTTATTTGAAGCAGCCTGCAGTAGCTCTAGCTTATGTTATGAAAATACGTAACATATTTCACCTTTGTAACAATTTTATTATTAATGAAAATAATACGCTCTTAGACAAACAAAAAAAAAAAAAAAAAAAAAAAAAAAGAAAAAAGAGACGCACCAAGAAAGAGTTATCCGAATAGGATAAGTGAAATCGGTATAAGTGATGTACATGTACAGAAAAACAAATGATTACAGTTTGGGAAAAATTAGAGAATTTATTGAAGTGATAGAGCTTCACAAAGTGAAAAAGTCAGTGACGCGTTTGTCCACCTCTGGCCCTTATGCAAGCAATTATTCGGCTTGGCATCAATTGATAGAAGTTGCGGATGTCCTTCTTTGGGATATAGTGCCTAATTCTGTCCAACTGGTGAGTTAGATCGTCAAAATCTCGAGCACAGTTCTGGGTAGTTTGCAATTTTTCTCTGTTGGTCCTACACGAGCAGACCCACACTGGACATGCATAACAAAGCATGACACGCAATATGGATTTATAAATGAGAATTTGTAATTAATTTCTAGAACGCTGTTTCGAGCAATTAAGAGGAAGAGTTTAGCTTTACTTACACGAAACTTTAGAATGATAGATGTATTGTGTGAGAGAATTAGTAAGGATCACGTCAAGATAAGAAACTTGCTTAGCACAAGGCAGAATTGCAGGTTTCCATGAATGTTTTTTCTTCTTCCAAAGAGGATAGCAACAGTCAAATCTACATTAACTTGAATTTTCCACCGCAACGCCAGATCTCCAATGGCTGGATGTGATTTTGTAACCGTTGAATGACTGAATTAACAAATGCATTTTGAGCAAGGCTCTCTATCATCAGCATACACTACTAGTGTAGTGCATGCTGTACATGGAATGTCGTTCATATAAGTGCTGAATAACGTAGGCCCTAATAATGACACCTGTGGTACACCGGCTTAAATAGCATGGCTGGTTGAGTTTGTGTTGGAAGTGCGAACGACAAAGTATCTACCTACCAAGTAGGATTGAATTGTGTGTGTGATGTAATCTGGGAAGAGGCTGTGAATTTTGAACTTGAGAGCATCCGTTCAGACGCGATCGAAAGCCTTGGCCATATCGATGAACAGTCCAACAGTGATCATCTTAGTCTGGAGTCCCTTTGAAATCATTTCTACAACTCTGTACAGCTAACGAAAAGTTGAAAGATTCCTCCTGAATACAAACTGATGCGGAATGACTATGTTCTTTTCATCTAAATAGATACAAATTCGTTCAGAAAAACTGCTTCCATCAGCTTCGCCAAAGTGAAAACTACAAAACCGGTCTATTTATAGTCTTTTTAACCAAAGTCTGTTGTTTCTGATGAAATGAAATTTGGAGTGAAAAATATGAGGGCATGTCAATAGTGCGCGAATGCATACAAGCATGTTGCTGACTGTTTACAATGAACAGCTTGATATATCTGTTGAAAATATGTCAATGGCTGACAACTTTACTCAATAACCTAACAACTGAAGAGATTAACTTTATGCATGATGGAAGATTATTTCCTTCACTCTTGTAGCCTTGAATCGCAAATAATCTTCTCAAATTGGACCTCCAAATACATAGACTCTCCAAACACTGCGAATTAATCAAAAAGATTTATTCTTACATCCTGTAATTGTGTTTCATTCCTGTTTTACTTTCGTATTTCATATTCCTTTTTTAGGAAATTCTTTGAAGCATTACAATAAGATATCAGTTCTTCAGTGCTTCTCGTTAATAACTCGATACTACCATAGCAGCATTTGACATGATTTTTATGCGTATTTTTTAATTTATTTGCAGTAAGGAAAAATTATAATTGAGTGTATGTGAGCTATTTGGAAATAGTTTAGGAACTCATGTTAAACATTTATGAATTTATGATTTTTTTTCTGTTTTGAAGCGAATTAAGATCACTAAAATATTTAGCTTCGGCTTGTAGAGTCATTAGGATTTTTTTAGAGGCAGAAAAGACGAAAACTAGCAACCGCCCTCGCCGGGAATCGAACCACGGACCTCTGGAATATCGGCTCAGCATGCAGAACCACTACACCACGAAGGACGCTAGGAAAGTGGGAGAAATACCTTATATACTCCCCTTTTTAAAGGGCGACTAGGGTTTTAGGGAACATAGTCGCCAAGTCGTGGGTACGGAGAATCATCATCTACAACGCTTTTAGTTCGGGCGCCACTTGTAGAGTCATTAGGATTTTTTTAGAGGCAGAAAAGATGAAAACTAGCAACCGCCTTCGCCGGGAATCGAACTACGGACCTCTGGAATACCGGCTCAACGTACAGAACCACTACACCACGAAGGACGCTAGGAAAGTGGGAGAAATACCTTATAGGCTTACAGTTTGTTTAAAAAAAATTTCAAAAGTAATTGCTATAAAACCATCTTAGGTATCACTTAGATAAATAAAAAAGAATAATTGGTACGTTTTCAACCTATAAAAGCACCTACTTTTTAAATTAGTATATACTGTATAAATATATAGTAGTTTAATTAACGAGCTGATAAGTAAGTTATCTTAAAGCTCCTTTTACAAAATAATTTTGCAATAATTTCCATGATAATTACAATCTTCTATAATAATTACAATTCCCAACTTATGGTTCAAGTATTACTACCTTTTGGACATGGGTACCCATGTCATCTTGAGCTCACATGCAGGCAGGCTGACAATAATAAATTTGATACATCTGTAATATAAATGGGCTGTCTACTTGTGTTTCAAGCAGACATAAGCTTCACAGAGATAGTTAAGTATTCCTTTATTCATTGCTTATATCTTTTAACATGTTTTGCTCTAGATTTCTATAGCGTCAAATTTTACTCATATACATCTCTAAAGGAATTACTGCGTTGAAAAATGCATAAGGCTCAGTCGTACTATGCTTATACAAAAAGAAGGCATTGTTACATGAATGGTATCTACAAATTGGTATAAATAGGATTTTGTTGCATTTGTTTATTATGTTGTTTTTAAGAAATATAGCTTTAAACTAACAATGCTTCTGTTCCTAAAAGTAGCACAGGTGACTCATAATAAAAATCTTATTATTTTATATTTTACTAATTATCGGTTTTTTTAAATTGTAATAAATTATGCTCGTGGTCTTCAGGCAATTAAATGTACAATAAGTTATTTGAGTAGTCTTAACACAATAAATGCATAATAAATTATAAACATGGATTTAAAGCAATAAATGAATCAGAACGGAACAATATTTAATTAATAAAATAAAATCAAATAGATTTTCGAATCGTTAAAGGCACATCTGGCTACTTCAAACAGGTAAACATGGTAAAGAATCATTAATGAACAAGAACACTTCATTAGCCATCTTAACATAGTAAAGCTGCAATTCCTTTCTTAGGCATCCATAAAAATTAACACATTCGGCTGAAACACTGTAAGTTATTAAGTTCCTTAATTACATTCCAATAGTGTCCAGTAAATAGTAGACTGAAAATCAGTCTCAAGCCCAATTTACTATCATTCTTCATTGCCTTCGATTACTACTTGTGTCTTTCAAGCATACACGTAAAACGCATTTAGTGAGAAGTAATTTTCCAAGAAATGGGAAAATTAAGTATTTCTAATCAGAAGACATTGTTCTCCAAACGCAACTGACAACTTTGCATTTCTTTAAAATAATTTCCTCAAATGTATCAGAAAGCTAATGAAGCAGTGAAATGTCACGAAATTTTCGTTATTTCAGATGCACTTAAAATCCCTAATTATCAGTGTGTCACTTAGCGATTTAATGCAGGGTAAAATCTGACATTTGATAAATTGAAATCGAAACTATCTTTATTTAAATTATGTGTTTTATTCCTAAGGTTGTATGGTTATTGCTTACCGCTCTGATCAATATGCACTTTGCTGGCAGTTTCATTTTAATACTCTAGTTTTAAGAAAGCGTTAGTGCAATATTCTCGGTTACCAAACACATTACTAGTACATGCATTACTGAAAAGGAATCACGGTTATGTATCTCTAAAGCGATTGATGATATACTTGCAATTAGAATTTAAGGAAATATCAAATAAGAAATGTTTTATACTAGGGATTCTCAACCTTTTTTTGCATTAAGCCCTTCTAAAGGAGTGGTTTTCTTCTTGGATCCTCTCACATTTTTC